TGTAAGTCCGTAATTATCCTTGCGTGCGGTTGTCCCGTGCTTTAGTGGCCGTAAAATCTGTTTGTTCGAAAGCAATGCATCGCACACGGCAAGTGAATGCTATATAGTGTTCTCGTGTATCGTCAAAACCATCGTGTATGGCGAAACCATCGAAACACGTTGTCGTGGTTGGCTGATTGGAGCCCGTCCTTATCTGCAGCACCTCCGTTTCGGTGTCCAGGACTCCGGCTCGTCCTTGCGGCTTATCAAACGCCAATCAAAATGGTGCACGCAGTGGAAACGGACGAGGATGTCGGGAACGGCAGATGCCACGTGTCGGGCTATTTAGCATGGAAATTCGCTTAAAGGCGGCGGCCCAAAACGGGACACAATGCGACTGCTGTTCTGCGGTGCACATAAAGAAATAAATTAATAAAAATAAAGAACAGTTTAAGCTCAAAAATGCTGCCTTCAAAAGCACCAGAAAACTAATCAAGGACAATAATATTATCAATTTAATACTGTTTTTATCTTTATAACGGTTAGAAGCTATTTGTTAGTTTGATAAGCTATATTTCATAAATATCTAATACGTATATTAATGATTTATATTTAATAATAATGATTTAATGATAATTGAAAAATGTCATGTATTTCAGTATTAAACATTTGAGCTTTAAGTTATGCCAGCTTTACTTCAGCGTTTTGATACGAAAAACCTTATCATTGCAAAGAATCAAATTGAGCTCGAGACATTCCCATTCGATTGTGATTTTATTTATTTCTGTGTACAAATTACATAAAGACTTCAAGGTAACCGGCGGACTCAGAACACAGAACACGCAAACGGAGCATTTAAATCGATTTCGCCGGGAGTGCGGGACTCGGCAGTCCGCCGGAGTAGCTTGTTTATAGCTCCTGCAAATTTATCTGACTGTTTTGCCGTTATTTATGGACGACCCCGAACCCCTCCACAGTCCGCCCTGGTCAGCGTTCGCTTATAATGGCCATTGCAATGGGGTTAAAGCCGCTCGAAAGTAGGTCCATTCAATTTGCAAATTTGAACATTTCTGAGTGGCCCAGTTGTAGTCGGGCCATGTCGGAAATGTTTCCCATAAGACTTCCTGTTAAATCAAGCGTAATCACACCAGATGTTGGGCTGGCAATCAATTAGGGAATGTTTTACTTTAGCATTTTGTCAATGGGTTATTATTTGTTGTGTAGTTCACAAAGAGAATTTGTTTTTTAATTATTGCATTCGGAAATTGGCAAACACAAACTTTAATTAATGCATTATAATCTATACTTTATTTATAAGTATATACGTTTCATTTGAAAGGTTGCAAGGTTACTATTTGCTTTTCATTCCATTAGCCAAATTGAAACACATTTTCTATGAAACACAAATAAGCTCCAATTTTAAATACGTTTCTTGTATGCAAAATTGCTAGCAGGACAATCTGTTTATGGTGGTATTAGTAGTGAATTAGTTATTACCTTTACCATTTGTAACTCTTTAGACTTGTAAAGAAAATATAATATTAAAGAGCAATAGTATCTTGTACTTATATTTATATTTATTCAAATTCATTTATTTCTTGTTTTGGGGTGATAGAAGGTGGTTAATATTTGTTATCGTTCAGTTAAAACGGTTGATAATTATGCCTATGTTAAACTTGTTATAATTTATTTTGTAATTTTATTTTATTTTAATTATATCTCCTTACGGTTTTTATATCTTGTATGGCCAGTTTAATTTAATTCTTATAATATATTTTAGTTATTATTTTCGAGGGACCTTCCAACTCAAAAAGTTGCATAGTTCAGGACAGCTTATCATTACCTTTCTCAACTTAAATTACCCGACCTTTTGAACTTTCGAAATGATGTTTGCTGGGTTGTCATTGGCAAAGACCCTTGCCAAAAAACCGACATGTGGGACTCATTCAATTGCCAAACGATTATCTCCGGCCTCATCAAACACATCTGTACATCGTCCCTGGCATCCGACTTCCGACTGCGACCCAACCAGAAGTCGATGCGAACCGCCTGCAAATGAGCGGCGATTGTTTGCGGTCGTCTGCGGATCTCAGTAAATACGGGTACGGGTTTTGAGACAGGAGAGGACTCGACTGGACTGGACTGGACTAGTCTGTCCTGGCCTTAACTGGACACTCGGGCATTTGTATGCCGGCGGGGGAATCCAATCTTTGCTCTGTGCGGACCCACACTTCCGACGGTGTGCACTCGACTGGATTCATCGACAGCACAGGCGACTGGCAGGCAAAAAAAAAAAAGGAGACCGCAAACTATTTCAGGTACCTAATCGCATTCTGCCAAAAACAATTCGCACTCGTCGAGCCGAATGCCCCGAAAAAAAAGGGAAAGGGCCGGAAAACTGCACCACAACAGAAAGGTAAGTGGCGAACGGGCTGGCAAACTGGCAACAAACTGCCGCATTGTCATTGAAATTGTTGGCAGACTTTTTTCCTCGGTGTTCTTTGTAGTTTGGCTTTATCACCAGCCTTGGTTTTTGCTTTCGAGGTTTCGGTTTTTCCCCACTTTTTGTTATACAGGGGCATACAGTCAACGGGAATATGGTATGACAGGCTAAAGAAAGTTGAATACTTTCTGACTTGTGATTAAAAACTATTGTTGCTCAAACCAATTGTTATGTTGGTAGATAAAAATGTTGCAGTTGTGAAATTTTGGTATTGTTAATTTGGTTACACTTATATGAAAAGGGCAAATCAGTGTAAAACGGAGAAAAGTGCACTTGAATATATTTAATTACCAAATAAGTGAAAAGTATAACTAAAAGAAACAAATATTAAAACAATTTGCACCATTTGCTTGAAGAGCTATCGACAGAAATTAAACAAATTCATTTATTTATTTGTTATACATGTTTTTAGATCTTATCTTTGAAATTGTAAAAGACTTTAAAGAGGCCGTGGGTATAACTTCTTACCAAATATGTATCTTAAAGAACTTTAAAGCAGGCTGTTAGGCTCTAGAGACGTTGAGTTTTGATAGTTTAATTAAATTTATGCTTTAAATTTATACTTTACAAATCTTTTGTGAAATAATTTTGTATCAGCTACAATTACTTACCCGCTAAAAATATTTAAAGAAACTTATATTATTACAAAACTGATCGAAAACTAGAATTATTGATTTTATTGGTAAGGTAATTTGATGAATTCCAAACCGGGTGTCCTTTGGTCGGGGCATTCGACTGTATCGCACATGGGAGAATTTTTTTTCGTTTTGGCGTTCCCTGAGCTTTTTGCTTGGCGCCCGCCTGTCATCGCACGCCCCCGACCAGCCACGCCCCCGCCGCCCTTGGTCGTGGCACATCGGGAACTATAAATCAACAAATTTGACAGCAGAATGTGCAAAGTGGTAAACAAAAAGCGGCTTCGGAAGCAGTTGCAAGCCAAGGACAAAAGGCAGAGTGGCTGTGGATTGCACTGGGGAATCGAGGAAGGGAGAAACTAGGGAGGACTAGGAGCTCTCTAGTCTCTCCTGTCAGTATCCTGCCATCTGGATGCCTTTTGGTCGATGTCTGTTGGCTGATGCTCTTGCTATTGCTGTTGCTGTTGCTGTTGCTTTTGTTTTTACTGTTGCCCTGCCTGCTGGCGATGGCGATGGCCATTATTGGTGCTAATCAAGCGTGATTAATTGTATTGAAATTGAATTTTTGTTTTGCATAACATTCTGGGTGGGACACATGGGAGCAGGTTGGATGGGTTTTGTGGAAATGGGTTTGGGGCTTGGTTGTCTGTGAATTTTGGCGCTTTCTATTATTGCACACTACACTCCAACACCTTGCTTGTACGAATTTCGAGTAATTTATACAAACAAACACAAGCGAACAATCGCGGGGGAAATATTAAAGAAGCTTTAAAATTAACATATTCACTTTCTACACCAATTGGGAGCCAATTAAGCAATTTAGCAGACAAAAAGATTAAGGGCTCTTAATAAATTATTTGGATTATAAGCAGGGGAAATGTTATACAAGGGTAATTATACATAATGAGTACCATTAATTTGATTAGATGTGCAAGTGCCGCATAATTTGCTCGCTTTTCAATAACTTTTGTGTGTGGGTAAATGTAACTAAATAAAGACTTTTTACCATTTATTGAATAAATTTCTGAATGGATTAAAAATTTTCTTCTGCAGTGCACCAATACACTTGTTTTTGCATTTCTGTGCGGCGGTTGGCTGGTGAATTTAAAAGCTTTATTATCCTCCCTAACTCCTCCAGATTCTATCAAAATTGCGGCGGCAGCTGTCTGGAATTGCCGCTGCTTCATGTACCTTGTCCGTGAAATGAGTAATCTGACTACGGAGTGTACACGCCAAGCAAGTAGTCCGTAATTGTGTTGTGGGTTCTCCGGGCCTTCGTGTTTACTCTTGTTGACTTTATATATTTTTTCAAAAGAACACGATAAGGGGGCACGGAAATAAAACTGATGACAGGGTTGGGAGATTACTTTTCATTTGATAGATGTATTTCCAAGTATGGTTAGGCGAATATTTTGGTTTTGGCAAAAACTGTATTCAAACTTCTCCTGAATTGCTTAATTTACAAATCATGTCGTAGCTACAAACAATTGCTTTTAAATATTAATAACCTTTTCGTCTGGTCTATAAATCTGAATGGGCCTCTTACGGAAAACACTTTAACGAGAAAACTTATATTTTAATGACGGTTGTTTTTTTAATTGGTCAATTTCATAATGAAATAACCTATAAAAAATTCATCACCTGCACCTTTGGTAAAACATGTCTAAAAATAACTTTTAAAACTTTATACAACCAGTTACAACAGCAATGTAGAAGCTCGATTAGTACCTCAAACTTTAACAGAAAAAAAAGTTGTTTGTTTAAGTTGCAAAGTTCGATTCTTATGATTATGAATTATGACATGCAGTGCAAACCTTTTTAGCTATATATATTGAAGTAACGAGTCATCACTAACCGCTTACATGTCTTCTGTCTCTTTCAAGGTAACGACTCGAATCCAGATGATATATTGCATCGATGCCTCTCGTGCAGGCGCATTAAGTTCGCTTATTGCCGGCAATAAACTCATTTACGTACTCGACCCGAGCACGTGGCTCCTTCAGGCAGGATCCATCTCAGTTACGGAACTGGGGAAAAGTATGGGGTCCTTGTCAGGTGCAGATACAGGTACAGATATAGATACAGATACTGTGCCCAAGTACTTTTCGCGAGTGTTTAGGTGTGTGTGAGCTAAGCAAACCAACCGAGCGGCAGACAAACAAACAACAAACAAACAAACCAACCGAGAGGCAAACAAATTGCTAAAATAAATGTACGGCGGGGGGCAGAAGCAGCAGCAGCAACAAAGACTCAACAAAAGGAAGAGGACTCGAAAAAAGAAGAAACAAAAATCGGAATCGGAATCGTAATCGAAGAGGTCCCATTAATGAACCAACCAAGGTGAGTAAGTACTGGTGACAATCATCGAGGAGTGGGTGCACAGCGAGAAAAGTGGCAAATTTTCATTGTTTTTTAATGAAAACTAGTATTTGTTTGGGAAACCAATATTTTTTCTAATATGTATCCCTACAAAATTTAGAAAGCATGTGCCTTTAAACTAAATTTTTACATTTATTTTTGAGAATTACATAAACTTTTAAAAGTTTCTCTTTTACAACAGATGCCGATCAAGTATATATGTACACTAGATTGAATAAAATATACCCATTTACTCTAAGAGTAACAAGTAATTTAGAGGGGATGTACACTTATTTTAATAACCGTGCTAGATTATATTGCAATGCTCTTCAGAGGGTTAAACTTTAATTAATTACTGAAATGAATAACGATTTTCAAAGTAAATACTATCAAAGATCACAATAATTATAACTTTGTTATTTTTTTCTTTCACTGCAAATGAATATTGAACCCCATGATAGCGGAATGATGGATGGGCTTTGTTTCACTTTTGTGGGGCTTTAGATTGTGTTTTTGTTTCGGTTTTGCACTCTGCACTCTGACCCGATTTGTAAAGACAAAAAGACGAAATCCCAGCAAAAGTTGGCAACCTCTTTGCATAAATCACAGGAGCCGGCTCTCTGATAACTTTAAAAATCAATTTGGGCTCAATGTGTCGCCGGCATCAAAGATTAAACTTTGCCTCTGACACGGGGCTCTGCTAGATTCAGCTGGCTCAATTTGCGAGAGACCTCGATTTGCTATGGTTCGACTGGGGTTGGTATGGTTTGGTTTGCTTTGCTTTGGTTTGGTTTATCGATCAAACTCCGACTGCAAGTTGGCCAGGTGGGCTCGGCAAACGGATGCGGTTCATCATCCTCCTCCGCCGCAATCGCCCAGTCCCCAATCCCCAAATCCTCAATTTCCCTCGAACTTGGAAACTTTTGCTGCGCCTTTTGATTGCTCAGCAAAATGTTACATTACCACAGCCACATAAAAGGCGGCATCGTAATAATGTGTTCAGGCCAGGGGCATAATTCTAACTCAACCCAAGCCATCACTGGCTGTTGTCTTTATACAGTCTATCCTCCTTAACTCGAACGTATATTTGTTCTTTATCTTAAACATAAGGAATAAGGAACTTATCAGGAATTATCTTTAATTTCTTTAAAAGATAGAGAATTCAAAAACTTTGTAGTTATTAGATTTTAAGGGTTACTACGATTTCGAAGATAAAATTTACCCCACAAGTAAATAACTTTGAAAACTTAATTTCAATAGAACCAAATATACAAAAATTCTGAAGTACTTTATTTTACGACATTTACTGCATACTTTTCGGCACCTTTATTATTAATTTCAAAACCCAATTTCTTAAGGAGTGTGAACCCAAATAGTTTTGTGATGAGTTTTAAAGCAATATATGTATATGGAACAATTTGTATTCAAATTCTCAGCTGCTTTTTTAACGAAAACGCACATTTATTTTAAATCACTTAACCAGAAGATTTGATTTCCCCGAGCTCTAAAGGTTTTTAAAAACCTTTAAATTTCCAAAAGGAAAGTAGTTCTTTGCGCTATAGAAGTACGACTGTACTTGAGCGTTGGCACAGCGCAACTGGCACTTCGCCGGTGACTGGTCAGCGATTCGAGTAAATCCTGCGGGGCAAATGGCAATTCGCGCATAAATCGCTCTTGGACCCAAGGAAGACGCCGTCGGTGTCTTGGAATAGTGGTTGTGTTATTTTAGCTGGGTTCTTCGACTCCATCACACTGCCCATTTGTATGTGGTTCACGTCGTCCGAGTGCGTCAGCGAAGCCTGAATGAAACTTGCCATGGATGTGGATGACTGGGGTCTGGGATCTGAGGTCTGAGTTCTGAGCTCCGAGGTCTGGGGGCCTGCAAATGGCACGGGCCTGGTTCTTATGCTGATGACATCATAACAATAAAAATTAAATTGTTGCTGCTCTGACAGGCGGCGGAAATGACGGCGCTTCGCGGCTAGTTGTTTTTGGCGTTGTGGCGGATGGATTTTGTTGCAGCACTGAAATTGAAAAACGCCTTGAACTCGCTCGCGACTCGCAACTTGCGACTTGCGACTTGCGACTTGCGACCCACATCCCCGGAAAACCCCCTTCATAACCCACTCCGCCTTGCCAGCCTTCCTTTCTGGAGTGGGGTCTTGAATATAAAATTTTATCACAAGACACACATTTAATTTAATTTAATGAGAGGCGAACAACATGCTCGCTTATCTTTAAACGTTCTGCGATTTGCCCTGCCGTGATATAACGTATTTTTGAGCCCACTCCAGGGATTCCCTGTCCTCACGGAATATTTAAATTGGCTTAGGAGGTGGCGGCAATTAAGCAGGGTGGGTCTTTGGCTGGTTTATACCATTTATATTACCAAATTCTGGGAATTATCACCCCAAGGTGTAAACATAGACCACTTAAAAAGGGGTGCCAAATATTTAAATTTTAAATAGGCTCTGTTTTTGCTTTTCCTTAACAAAATAATTATTACAGAGTAATTTTGATTTATATTGTTTTAATGATTTTAAATTCAGTATTGGGTGCCTTGAAACTTTAATGATTTATTGGAGTCTATAATGTGGTAAACTTAAAAACAATTTGTTTAAAGTATACACTAATTAAGACTATAGTAAAGTGATTTTATACAGTTCTTAATTTGAATGTTTAAAATACTTATAAAATAATTCTTCGAAGTCTATAATGTGGTTCATTTAAAACCAATTTATACACTATTAACGATATTCTCTTAACTTTAATATTTAAAACAATTTTAAAAAAATTAACGAAATCATTGTTAATAGGACAAAGTATTGTTGCTCAAATTTAAGGGGCCAAAGTAATTGCCAAAGTTGAATTTTAAAACGAAATCGAAAAACAGGCATTGAACATGATTTCCAGTGGGGATTTCGGAGAACCAATCTCTTCCCTTTGGTAGATGGAATCACATCGTGTCACTGATTTTGGCTCGACCTTTTGTGCGGCTCCTTTGGCTTTGCAGTAATGTGATTAGGAGGCGGTGTCCCTTGGTCCCGGGGGAATATGTCTGTCGATTAGGCAACGTGTTAAGAACACTTAATTGAAAATAACTTTGGGGGGCATCTAGCCCGTACTCCGAACCCCTCGAAGGGGTGAAAATCTGCACAATCCGGGTGGCAGCATACCTCCACCACCTCCACCACCTGCATCATCATCAAACTCTCCTCGTCCTTGAGGTGCTGTCAGCACCCCCCAATGTGTGTGTGGCATGAAAGATGGTTGGCTTTATTAAAGGCCAGGCCGAACTCTCTGGCCCCAGCTTAATTATACATTATTTTGGCCTAAACACAAGCAAACGTCGGCAGTTCGCCCCGCTGGCTGGGCCACTAGGTCGAGTGCGTGGATGGTTAAACTCCGAGATTGGGACTGGGACTGGGATTGGGATTGGGACTGGGTAACGGGGGCACGTGTTTGCGTGTTTGAGGGGCGTCCAGGCGTGTGCAATGATTTATTTGCAAGAGCCAGGGGCTGGCTGGCTGTCAACTCTCGAGCTGCGAGCTGCCACACTCCCATCCACATACGCACTTTCTATGTTTATTTATTGTTATATTTATGTGCAAATAATATTAATAACAATAAAGTTTTCTGGCCCGTTTTATGGCCAAGTTTGCTTGCTCTTTCCCTTGCCCTTGCCCTTGCCCTTGCCCTCTCCAAACCGAAAACCAAAAAAAAGCAAGGAAAATCAGTAAAATAGGCCCACGAATTGTTTATCGTTCTTTTAGCCAAAAGGTCCTTTCCATAGAAGAAGATCTTAAAGTTATGTTGCGAATATAAATGTACGATTATGGTTGAAGTGCAGAACGTGACTGAGCAGACGAAACAGCAGGCTGAAATTAAAGGGCAGCCAAACACACATAATTCTGAATCTGTAAATATTTAACAACAATATTATTGATAGGAATGCGTTATTTTGTTGCTTCAGCTGCTGTGTTTTTTTTTTTTTTTTTTTTGTAAAGCTTTTAAAATTCCTCCGAACGTCAAATTTTTACAACTTTAATTAAATATTCCGATGAAACTGCTTTAGACTTGAGCTTTGTCTCGTCAATTTGGCTTGCCATTCTGCCTGATTAATTCAGTTTTGCCAATCGGTTGACAGCAAAATATGCACATTGATTAAACTTTTCGGATTTTCCATCGATTGCCAATCGCTTTCCATCGCATCCCGGATACCGAAAATTATGTGAAAAACCGGGGGCCAAGCTCGTCGTCTCGACTCGTTTCGTCGCTCATTTGAAATGCTAACACGTTTCCCCAATTTCCATAACAGCCGAAAACTTTAAAGGTTGCATGCACAAATCGAAGGGCGAAAAATAGCAATAACGGTTGAGGATTATAACTGAATGGATTATCCTAAATTGATTTGCACTGAAAGTGCTTATTTGCATTACTTATTGTTGCTTGTGGTTTTGTATTTAAAATACATATGTAGTGCGGAAAATTAACTAAACTGACTACTTTAATTCTGTATTGAATTTATATTTCAGCATTCTACAATTTTTTAGGCTTTGCAGATAGGAATAACAAATAGCTTAAGTTAGCTATGTTCAGATGTTGTCAGTTCATGCACCCAATAAAAAATGGTAATAGAATCCAAACTAATGTTACATGAATTTTAAACTATGGGGTATGAAAAATTTATCAATAAAATGAGTATCAAATGAATAGCACGGTAGTATCGAAATAAAACTTATATGGTTTAAGGTTATTTATATGTTTATGGTTACACTATAGTTTCATACTTTTCAGTATAGAAATGAAATTAAAAAGTATAGGTGTTATATTATTTTGTATTAAAAACTTTAATACTGTCTGTAGTTTATTTTAAGGCACACTTATTAAAATAAAACTTTCGGTTTTTTTTTGGATGTATGTTTTGCCATTAATATATGTATTATTAATTAATAAATGTATTATAAATGTATTACGCCCACTCCTCGACAAAATCCAATCAACTAAACTATACAATCAAACCAATTTAACCATTTCCGATTCCTATTTCTGATTTCAGCAAACCAACGAAAGTTAAAACAATAGCATAAGCAATACAAGCAAAATAATTATAACGAAATCGCTTTAAACGCACCTCTAGTGTTAGTCAAAAAAAAGGAACACATCTCGACGTGTATCTTGGGGAAAATCAACGCTTCATAAATTAACGAATTAGTGAATAACTCAACCACGGACCAGCTAAATTAGAGACCACCCATCGGTGGACACCCGCCGGAGAAGGATCAACCACCACGGCGAAGGGCGGCCGTAATGGGTGGTGGCTTTGCGGCGCCACCGATTACACTAGCCAGCAACCAGCGACCGGCTCTGATAATTCAGCCAGCCAGCCCCATCCCGGCGACGGATATGCACGAGAAACTCCTGGAGAAGGAGGACAAGACTGAGAGGACCAATCTGCTGGGCAGGTCCAAGGACAAGCCGCCCAAGGACAAGCCGCCCAAGCAGTCGAAGTTTGCAGAGCGACTGCGTCGCTCGTTCCGCCGCGGCGACCATCGATCGCTGGAGATCAAGCGGCAGGAGCCCACACCGGAGGAGCTGAAGGCCAAGAGCCGGGCCACTCCACCGCCGCCAAGTAGTGTGCACGCGGACAACAACAACCGGCTGCCCTTTGCCCTCAGCCATCTGCATCTGCCCGGCCTGGGATTGGGCGGACACATCAATCCCGCCCTGCTGCTGGACAGTCCGGACGAGTGCACTCCGCCGGAATACGCCTACCAGCACCTGAGTAGCGTGGCCACCACCAATTCAAGCACTTCCCTGGAGAGCAGCTGTGAGTTGGGTGAGCTGAGTGGCTCCCAGAACAGTGTCTTCTATTGGGCCTCCATGGGTGGCGAGGTGAGCACATCGTCGGGGGGAGCAGGATCAGGATCGGGAGCAGCAGGCACAGGCACAGGCGCTGGCACAGGAACTGGAGGAATAGTATCTACGGAACACCAGGATAGGCGACGCCTGGAGACACAAAGCAGCAATCGAAGCGATCAGCAAGCCATTACCACAACCGCATCCTCGGTGCCTGGGAACAGCAGCAGGAGCTGCAGCCTGACCAGCGAGAGCAGCTCCATCCGGCTGACCCGGCTGCAGAACTTCCTCTTCAAGAGCAGCAACGAGAGCTCCCGGAGCTGCCAGGGTCACTCGAACGAGGGCTTCACCGTGTCCTCGCACAACTCCTCCTCCGGCGAGTGGGAGCAGTTGGGGGCCTATCTGTCGAGCAGCAGTGGCGTGGGTGGGGGCCATGACTTCCATGGCGGCTCCTTTCCCGAGGAGAGCACACCCGACGAGACGGAGGCCACGCTTCCGGTGGAGACCACCAGCAGCAGTGGGGCCGGTGGCGGTGGCGGTGGTGGCTACTATCAGTACACCCTGACCTCGCCCAACAATCCCTTTCTGCCGGAGATCACGGCACGAACGTATCACAGCACCTACAGCGAAGATGGGGCAGTGGATGGAGCTGATCCGTCCACTGCGGATGAGCTGCAGCTACAGCTGCAGCTGGAGGGCAATGGGAAGTATGGGGCGGGAGGGGCGGGCACTCGTTCGGCCCAGCTGCCCACACCATCGTACAGTCGAGCCGGTTCGCAGGAGTCGACGCACAGCGAGGGCGGCGGACCGCCTGGACCCACGCCCAGTCCCGCCTCCAGTTCCTCCTCGACGCCGGGCCGCCATCGCAGGAAGCTGTTTAGCCTGAACTCGCCCACCCGATTGCTGCACCACCAGCAGCAGCATCATCATCATCAGGCGCCGCAGAGTGCATCGCCGCCGGCCGGCGGAAGCAGCAGCGATGGCTCCTCTGGCGGCAAGTTCAACTCGGCCAGTCTGGTGCGGAGCCTCAATCCGTTCCTGCCCAGCGTTACGTCGCCGAAGAGGGCGCCGCACAAACAGGCGGCAGTGACGTCGCCCGCCGGCTCCGTGACCCCTGACCTCAGCACAAAGCGCGAGGAATTCCTGCGCGCCACCATGAAGATCTGTTTGGTGGTCTCGCCGCCCAACAGCAAGCTGCAGGTGAGTCCTGGAAAATCTGGAAAATCTGGAAAACCCGGAAAACCTGGTCAACAAATTATGCGCGACCATAATCAAATGTTTACTTAGCCAAATGAGAATAAACATATTTCCACTCTTATGTACGCTCGTATTTTTTGTTTTATTTCCCTCTGTTTTCTTTTTCTCGCCTCGCGCTCTTGTTTGTGTGCTTAAGTTGGGATATTAAATTACAGAATTACTTGCCAACAAGCGCAGCGGTACAAATATTTTCAGCCATGACGTCAGCGCGGAAGTTGGTCCTGCATCCCCAAAAGATCCCTTAACAGCCATCAAATATTTAATGCGCTCTGATACTTGTTTTTAAGCTTTATTTTTATTTCATGCAGCATTCGCCTTTCATTTTTTCAAGTGGTGAAAATCAGTGAGAAGCTGGAAAACGACCATTTTCAATGTGTCTTCATATTTTTGTATGTTTCTTCTGTTATCTAAAATATACCATAAATATAATTTGTAACAAAACAATTTTACTGCCTTTTGAATAAATAAAAAAACTGTACTAATTTTTAAAGACAATTCAATATATGTTTGACCTTGTTCTTTGAAAATTTAACAAACATTTATTTGTTATTTTAAGTTTAATGGCAAGAAAGATATTTAAGAAATTAAAACCCACTTTTTACTTATGCTTAATATGTTCATTTATTTTTATAAACAATAAACAAATTTTGTGGTATTAATTTACATTTTTTAGTCGATGTGACATTTTAAGTTTTCAACAAGTTATTAAATTTAGCAAAATCAGTTAACTGTAAACTAAATTATTCTTATACATGAGCTTTTAAACTTTATCAACTGCATAATTTGCATTTGCCATTGGTATTTATGCCTGAATGGAATTGTAATAAACGATTCCGTCAGCCATGGAATTTATAAATAATATAACAGAGACATTGCGCATAACGTATACGCAGTGTGATTGCATAGAATCTAATGTGTGTGCTTATGTGCGTGGGGGGAATTCAATTGTCGCCGGAAGATATTTAGAGGCATTAGCGCAAGTGCAGTGAAGCAATAAATTGCATCAGCGATTTGTCCAGCCCACAATGGTGTTTACCCCGTAAAAGCCTCGACAAAATGCGGAGTAAACGAGACTGCCATTTGTTGGTCATTCAGATTATCATCATTCCATCACAGACTCTGGCAAATATTTCACGTACGAGCTGGCATCCACGGACAAATCTCTCCTTCTGCCTGCTGGCATCTAAATAGGCCACTCCTCAGCGTAATCATAATTTGTACGTTTATTACAAAATCTAATCCTATTAGTGGCAGGCATGCTTCAAAGGCCTAGGATGACACAGGATGAGTGCACGTAAACGAAAACAATTATGCGAAAAAAAAAACTAAACGAATACCTAAACCAAAACCAGGCAAAATAAAAATGTCAGAGATTTTACTCGTACTTAAATTAAATTTATATTATATTAGCAAGCTCTTGAAGCTTGAGGCTTAACTCAAGTTTCTTGAACTTCCTATGGGAGATATCCGTTTAGCCGGTTCCCAAATTTCTTCGCACAGGACACAATTTGTCATAGTGTCCGGCTAAAACCCCAGAGTGATTTCCCATGTTACGTGTCCTGTGGACCAAGTTCTTTTTTCAATCGCTGTCCCCTTTAAGTAGCCATGTTAACATGGAAATTACGTGGGCTGACATACGTGTTGAAGTCTTTAAGCGATTAGGTAATCGCGTTAGCGATGTGATTGTGCATGCGAGACGAAACTAGATTAAATTATGCAATGCCGCATTGCACTATTCTTACGCAGTATAAACAATCAGAGTCTTTATTTCCTCAGTCGGGATTCAACAAAAGTAAAGTGTTCATTTTAGGAGAACCTACGAGTATGAAATGCTCTTGAATATTTTTTCATTTTGTGTGGAAAGCTAAAGGCCAAAGTAAGCCAAAAGTCCAAAGAGTCAAACAGGAAAATGTTTTCATTTAACAGTAACAACTATAGGATATCCTTTACTTTAAAAATATAAGTTTTATATATTGTGTATTAAATTAAATTTGTCTTAATTTCATTAAGTACTTTATGAAAGACACATTAAAATTAATAAGCTTTTTTATACAAAATCAGTGTCGGTATGTAGTTAACCTGATTTAGATTATCAAATTACTACTACCAAATTAGTGTCGGTAGTTACTTAAACTTATTTAGATGCAAGTTAATATTTCTTTTAGCAATTTATTATTTTTTTGTGTACTAAGTCATGTTTAACTAAATTCACCTGATCTAGAAGAAATGGCTTTTAACATTGACTTACAGAAAACATTTATTTATAGTCTTGTATATACACAAGTCCAGTATACCCGCTTCTTATGTGATTACTGGAAACAGTCAGCCAAGCCGCAGTGGGCGAACAATTCACAATATAACCGGAAACAAAAACATAAACCAAAGTAAAAGGGCAAGGCAAGCGGTCGCAGTGTGAGGGACGCCAGCTGGAAATTGCCAAAACAGAATGTGAAATATTGTCGTCAGCAGGAATAATAGACCAAACCAGACCACACCAGACCAGACCAGAGCCCGTATCCTTGGGCGCACTCCGGGGGAGTCGGTGGTCCTGGTCGTGGGTTCTATGGGAGATTAGCGGCATCAGGGGGCTGAATGGCATCCGTTCCGGAGCTTAAATTCTCGCAGCTCGGATGCCAGGCATGCCGCACCCTGGATTCGAAAGTCGCTTTCGCTTTCTTCATTTGATGTTTCAGCAGAGCAGAGCAATCCAATTGAAGTAAAATATCTGGGAATATTTCAGGATGTGCCATTTGAAATTCATTGGTAACTAACTAGCTTCGTCACGAAATAAGTTATTAAGAATATTCTGATAATCTAATTAATATCTCCCAATTTGAAATACTTAACAAGCTTCACGTCCATTTTTATAACTTCAATATATCTGCAACTGAAAATGTTATATTTTTTTCTTTTAACTAATATATTTTTGATATATTGTTGTGGCTTTGAATAGAACAGAATCTTATGATTCAAATTTATTTGACATTTTTTTTTTCAATATTACCAACTGCAATTATAATAACGACATAAAGATTTTTAAACTAAATGTTATTTTACCTTTTTGAAAAAAACTTTGATCTTAGATGTTCTAGATTTTGACAGTATATTCAGCCATGAAATGACATAGTAGTACTCCCCTAAATTTTTCTGGGCTAATGTGAATTTAAGCACAAGGTTTTCGTCGAGCTCAATTTAAAAGGAAGGCATTGAGATGTGTAAATCGCAGACGGATGGCTGAATCCTTCACAAAGGACAACGGGTGATGGGTGAGGCATTGACTTTGAGGCGGACCCTGACTTTGGGCCACGTCCACACTCACATTTACACTCTCACTCACTCGGCCAGCTGGGGGCACTTGACTGATGTAATCTCAGTGCATTAGGCGAGGACAGGAAACCTTCGAGGACACGTCTAGGGCTCTTTGCCGCTGGCGCAATCTTTTTGTTCTCGATGCATCTTTTCGTTGACGGTTCGCCATCGCCATCGCCTTCGCCATCGCAAAGTTGCCAAGTTACCCAGTTGCCTGGTTGCCACCCGGCCGCAAGCAATTTGTTTTCCCCGGAAAATGTACTGAGCTTTTCATTGTCTCGCAAGGGTCGGCGTCAAAAGCATTCAAAACATTATTCTCTCTGCATTAAACGCGAAAAATGCAGTAATTCGGTGTGGCTCCAAAGTCCCTTGGATGCAGTTGCTTGTGGCTTAGTCGCTCCGAAGGTCATCTGCAACACAATACATTTCCGAAAGCATCTTAAAATAAACAAAGCAAATCCTCACTACATCCGGTAGGGCTTCTTATAGCTTATCGGCATTCAGGCAAGTTGCGCAGATTTATGATTTGGTAATAAATCTTGTGTCCAAAAAATTATTTTTGTCACTCAAGCGCGGCTTAAGATAAAATATTTTTTCTTTTCTTTTTAATACGCATTTTCACCTGCAAATATTTTATTCTTTATGAAATTAAAATGTTACAATCTCTCTCACATTTGTTGAATATATTTTTTATGCACCTAGTAATATCATGTATTCATTCATCAAATGGATGCACTTCATCAACTTATATTTAAATTGCTCTTTTTACTCCAATGAAACCAATCCGTATGGGAAAACATGTGACAAACAATATGTGAAAAGCCCTCAATAACGCGAATTTAAATTTAACTATAAATATCTGTGCCACGCTTCAATGATTTCCACTCGGACTGACAAACAGATTTCGATTTCGCTTTCCGTTGCAGCTGAAATCGAAAAGTCTCACCCACTTGGATGGCCTCGACTCGGGCGTGGTGGCCTGCCAGCACGGTCCTCCGGGAATGGCCACCAGCACCACCTCCACCACCGCCGCCGGCACCACCGCCGCGACTCCGGGACTGTTCGCCACCGCTGGAGCAGCAGTATCGCTGGGCCGGCAGGCCAATGTGGTAAGTGATGGTCAGGGGGCCGAAGGGCAGCGGCTAACCCACCGGCCAACTGCTAGAACTTGGCACTTAGTCAGCACATTCATCTTGCCTAGAGTGTGTACACTGGTGGAAAAAACACGATCTAGAATCAAGAATAAAATATTTATATCTAAACATTTGGGATGCTCTTAACAAAGATTTCGATTTATTTATTTATTTTACTTAGATTTAACATAGATTTATATTTTGCAATGGAAATGTAAGTTTTGAAATTACAATTTTTTTTTTAAGGTTTCCATTCTTTTTCATTTTTTCTGTTGAGCTTATGCTTTCAATATTAAAAATAGTGTGATACATTTTTCTTTAAATCTAATAATTTCAAAAATTTGAAAACAACCCTTAATTTATAAGGGCATTTCAAATACAAAATTCCAGAAAATGAAATCTTGATTTTAGAATGTAGTTATTTCGTGTGTAGTGTGTGAAGTGTAGTGTGTGCCCACTGTAGAATCGTCATTCCTGGGTTTCAGCCCCTCGAGTGGAAGTCCGCTCGCAAATTGATAACAAATTACTTTGCTTGCTGCATTCATCTGCCCTTGATTTGTATCTATTTTGATTTTTTAGCTCTTTTGCTGCTCTTCGTGTAGCTGTCATTGATTTAAGCACAGTCAGTTGTGTTTCTTTGCACTAACTATTTGTAACTGTTAGTCATTTGGAAGACTGCACTGTGTCTTTTCTTGTCAGTTTTAAAGGGAACGTGACTTTTCTTCGATTTTAAGGATCCACTCCGCTGGCACCTTTCGTGTCATTCGTTTGTAATTTGTAGTTAAGAGTTCTTAGTCAAACTATTCGTAGTTTTATGGAAGGTTTAACAGATTGCAAGCAATTTCAAATTGTAATAATGATTGAGATATAGCATATTGTTTAAAAAATTTATTTTAAATCATTTTGTTTTTTCTTTTACAACGCATACTTGATTTTACAACATATTTTAGTTATAACAAAATTATAAGAAAAATTTAATTATATACAAAAAACCAATGTTTTATTTGATGTATACAAAAGCTCAGATTAAATTAAATGTAATATTTTCTTTTGAGTGAGTACTAGACAATATAGCCCGCTTTATTATGCACTTTTTATATTTGCCTCAAAAGTTTGGTAGATATAGTGGCTTACAATTGGAAAATTTGACAGACCTGCACAGTAAACTAGACTCTGTTTTTATATATGGTGTAGTAGTACCATGTAATCACCTAACAAAAAATGCTCACAATATCTGTCTTATCCACTCTGTTCTTTCTCTCTTTCTCTATCTCTTCCCCTCACTGTCTCTATATATTTACCTAATGGGCTTTGTAAACTTTGGTTTTTATTTGTTTGCTGACCGCTTTAAAATACCACGCTGATAACCGAAAAATAAACTCGAAAAAATGTCAGACTGAGAAGGGCGAAACGGCGGGCGGTTGTCTGTCCCCCTCGCACCCACCGCACCACCCACCCACGATTTACACCCAGGCACCGCAGATCGTACGGCGGACGCCCTCGCTGATGCTCTCGCCCACACTTGATAAGGCCGCCACCACTACGACGACGACGGCCAGTTCGTCCTGTTTTGGCACCGGTCACTCCAGTGCCGGATCCTTTCACCAGCACCAGCATAACCAAAGCCACTCAAGTCACCCAAGCCAGCCAAGCCACCAGCAACTGATTAGCAGCGGCAGCACCACTGGCACCACTGGCAGCACAACGGCAACTCATGCGATACCCTCCTCCAAACACTTTCAGTTCGCTGGCGAGCTGGTGGCCACATCGTCCTCAACCCTGAGTCCCTACAGCAGCACCACCGCACCCTCGATTGGCGGTGGTGGTGGCGGTGGAGGTGGCTTGACCTCCCCGGCCGGCTGCTCATCGTCCTCCGGCTCGACGGTGAAAAAGAAATCCTCGTTTATGAAGCGCAAGAAGCCACTGCTGACGCGCAGCGAGGTGAGTGGAGAATCACCTGGTCAAAGGACAAGCTCCTCTGGGATTAAGCAGATCTCAAATGGCTGAACAATCAGAAGGCCTTGCCACCTGAATGTCCGCCACAAAACGTGGAAATGAGTCTGCAATTAACGAGTTCGGGTGAAAGATGGTGAATTACAGTCGACAGATGGCGACTTTTGGGATGGAAATACATTTTTAATTTCTTTATTTGCCTTTGTCGCCTTAATCAGCAAAAGTTGTTGTAGAACTTTCCCTGCTTTCCTTTACTTTCCTTTACTTTCCTTTCCATTCCTTACTTCGGTTTCCCCTTGCCGCCGCTTTTCTGTCACTTGCCAAGCGGTGAATTCCGCCCTGTTTCCCGCAAACACAAATACGGAGAATATTTCTTGATGTTTGCTTTTATTTCAGTAGTTTTTGTTGGCGGCTGGGTCCTACTTAACCCCCTTTTTTTCCCGGCCTCCTCCAGATGCAATCATCACACTTCACAAGGCCATCAAAGAGAGTGCTCTGGCGGCAGTCGCAAGCGATTTTTGCCAGTGGACCTCTTTGTGGCGCTTTTGAAGGCTAGATTAAAAGGCTCTTTTTGTTTGGTCCTTGAATTTGCAGATACAGATTAGGCACTCTGTATCAACGGAAAGTGGTGGACCAAAAGTCCTCAAATGCAACGTATTCCCTAACTTAATTTCGACTTTTGCATTCCTTTAGGTATCCAGCTCCGAATTCTTTTCCGTGTCATTCTGCCTGGACTCGTCGCAGCAGCCAGATGAGGAGTTCATTCCTGCAACCAAAGGCGTAACTCTACTGTGAGTCTTTTGAAATGCTTTTAATCCCATTGAAACACAATTTAATAAACACAAAATGTTTAGTAACGCACTCAGCCACGCTTTGCGTAGGCGGAACCTCAGCTTTACACAAATCACAATTACGGACAACAATCCCACGCCCAGTTTTTTAGATGCAGGTAAGTCGTTTGCCTGTAACTCCCTCGGATTTGTTACCACGTTGAGCTTGTTATTTGCCTGACAGGACCCTCACTGCTCCCCGTTTCGGTGGATGAGCAGACCGACGTGGAGAGCCTGGCCGGACACCATCTCTGCATCACCGAACGAGGCAGCAACCGCAAGCCCCTGCAGAAGGCAGCTTCTTTTGTAAGTTATTTTCCCGGTGTGGGTTAAGCGAAAATGCATACTTTCGTGGTCAAAATAAAATGCATTTTTATAAAAGCTAAGTTTGAGTAAAATTTGACATTTAGATTGCATTTCATGCTTGAAATCTAAATAAAAGTATGTAGCCTGATGTTGCAATTACTTGATTCTACTTTTTGAGATGTATTTTAATTATTTGTGTAAGTAGCGGGTTAAAGATGTCTCGAAATGATAAATAATTTAATTTGCAATTTACTTATTTGTTTTAAATAAAAGTAAAGTTAGCAAAGCTAAATCGAACTTTAGAAAGTAAAGGTACAAGCTGACATGGCCTGCGACTATGGTTGTTTTATGATTTTGCATAAAATAAACATTAAAATTATACAACTAGACAATGCAAACCTACTTTAGTTTGAAAATATTTAGTTGAATATTTTTAAAAAAGTGCTCAGAAATATATCTTACTAGCTTAGGCCCGAAACTGACTTAAAAACGGTATTATAAATACGTTTAATATTCGATTTTCAATCGCTTTTTAAACATTTTGTTGAGTGTCTTACTCTTTTGAATGGAAAATTGTATATTTAATATTTTAGTTAATTACTAAATCATTATTTAAAATGCAATGTATATTAGATTCCATAATTTAATATTAAATTTTTTTGAAATAATGTGCAAAATATTTGATTTTAAAACGTTTCTGTTTGATTTAAATGCATTTTATTTAAGTTAAACTTGGTTTCAATTTAAATTATATGTTCAGATATAAAAATCAATTCCGAATATAGTCAAATATAAAATTAAACAATTTTTTGTTTGTATAATATGGTAATATAACTTAAGTTTAGCTAAAACCGGCAATAATCCGTAGTTTATTTACTAGGCAAACTAATAAACTAAATTTGAACTGACCTTCATCTCACAGGGATCCCGACAACCGCCGCCCCGACTGCTGCCCTCCGTTTCCACCGAGGAGACCAGCGAGTCGGGAGTGGCGACCGGAAAGCATATCAAGCAGCGGTGGTCTTCCATATTCGGCATCAAGAACCCCCAGCAGAGCCAGCTGTGCGAATTGTTGAACAGCTATGCCAAGAACGGAGTGCCCCAGCGGGCGGACAGCATGAACTTCGATCATCCGGATCTGGCCAATTCGCTGGCGTATCTGCAGGATATGCACAAATCCTGGCGCGACTTTGTGGAGAGCGACTCGATGAGCGAGACGGAGATTAAGATCCAGACGGCCATCTGGGAACTGGTCACCACCGAGGTGTACTACATTCACGCCCTGCAAACAGTTACCGATGTGAGTGTGCTTGCCTTCCAGTTATAAACCTTAAAAGAGGAACTTATTAATGGGTAATTTCGTTTTAGTTGTTCCTGGCCTGTTTGGAGGCCGTTCAGGAGGAGCGTCTGCTGATCGATGTGGACCAGGCGCGTTTGTTCTCCAATGTGCGGGCTGTGTGCGAGGCGAACATCAAGTTCTGGACCATGTGGCTGTATCCCATGGTGGCACACAGTGTGGTCACACACGAACCGCTGCGTTGCGCCTTTTTCCAGGAAGGATTCATTGCCTTTGCCTCCATCTTTGCGCCATATAAGGTGCGTCACACTAACGATTGTTATTTCATTAAATTTAGTATTTCATTTCAAATTATTTACTCTGCAGATCTACTGTGCGGAGCAGAGCACCTGTCAGTTCTACTGCAAGGAGCTGAACCACAACAATCCCCTGTTCACCTCCTATTTGGCGTGGTGCGAGTCGCAGAAGATGTGCAACCGCCTGCGACTCGCCGACATTGTGGTGCGACCCATGCAGCGACTGACCAAGTACAGCCTTCTCCTGGCCGCCATCAAGAAGCACATGAGCGATGTGGAGGAGATCGAGGCCATCGACGTCATGATGCACAGCGTGGAGAACTTTGTGGGCAGCGTGAACAACCACTTGACGATGCGCCAGGAGAGCGAGCGGCTCAAGGGGGTGATGGTGCGGATCGAGTCCTACGATGTGGTGGTGAGTAAACACAAATCTGAATCAGTAGACTATAAATAACATTATTTCGAATTAGCAGTTTTAAAGGATTTCAAATTACATAATTTACAAAATAAATTCTAAGGAATTAGTCTTCATTGAGAGCAAAATTAAAAGATAGAACTTAATTAATATGACTAAAAAAATATGACTTTGAAAAACATTCATAAAGGCATATTTGACTGCGACCTAAACGATTACGTTCGACTTTAATTAATGATTGTTAATAGTTGAGACAACACTGCCGGTGATTTAGATCAAGAATATATATAAAATGTACAGAGTTAGACCTGTGGCATACTTTTTAACGAATTTCTTTTACAAGTAACGGGTGTAATAATGCAATTTTAATACATTGTTAATTTTACTATGAACGTTGATTACAAATGAGGAATAAGGAGCTTTAACTGGAAGTCTTTTATATAATAATCCGAGTGCAGTCTTAAAGTGTCTTTTTCTATGACCTAAAAGCAAATATTGTTTACTTATAAATTAGTATATCATGTAAAAATGAATTTTATGCTAACTAATTGAATTTTGTTTACCTATTTTGCGCCTTCGTAGGACACCAACAACGAGATGCTGGACAAGTTGATCAAGCAGCACAGCCAGATGTTTGACCTTTGCGCTCCGATGCGCGGATGCCCCGCTTACCATGTGCGCCACCTGTTCATGGAGGGCGACCACAAGTTCAAGGACAACCTCGGCAAGTCCGATGTGCACTGTTTCCTGCTGACGGATCTCCTGCTAGTGTGCAAGACCATTGCCAAGCGGGGCTTGGGGGCGCTGAAGGTCATCAGGCAGCCGTACCTGACCGATCAACTCATCGTCCAGCTGGCACCGAACAATACGCTGAACTGTGTGTACCTCAACGAGTTCCAGGTGGCCACCACGGCGTTCACGCTGCAGTGCACCGAGGCCAAGAACTGGTACGACGCCCTGTGGCGGGCCAAGACGATCTACCAAAGACTGAAGCGCGGAGGCGGCGGCGGCGGTGGCGGCGGCAGCGGCAGCGGTACGGTGGGCGGCGACAGCTTCCGGTTCGGTGGCAGTGGCACCAGCGGCGGCACCGCCGACTCCCTGGGCGTACGCAAATCGCCCATGAACTCCTCGATCTGCAGCCACGTCTCCAGTGCGAACAACAGCCACAGCGGCAGCGTCGAATGGAACGATTCCCGCAACATCTCCGTCGAATTTGAAAAGACAAACTCGGTGTCCAGCGACGAGGGCTCCAGCATAATGACAGGTGAGTGATTATAATAATTAAAAAACTTGTTAATATTAAAAAAAAAAAATCAAACACCGAAATGGTTAAAATTCAATGCAAATACAGTTAAACGGAATATGAAATACTAGGATATTCTACGCTTTTATTTGTCAATTGCATTTAAATTTACATTTACACTTTAAAACCCACTTTTAAATTAGCATTAAGAGGTGAAAACAATCCTAAAGGTTTTTTAAACCACCATCAGAAATATCGTTTCATATTTCTAAAATTGAAACTTATCTCGTCGGCAGGCAACCACGGAGTGAACCTGAAGGGCAAGCAGCAATTGATCAGTGGCCTGCACAAGGCCAAGATGGGCATCATCGGCCCGATGGGCTCCAAGTCGGCCAACACGCTCTCCGTGCAGCCGATGAACCATCTGGGCCAGAGTCTGCCCAACCTGAACATGCATCACAGCCACACGTAAGTTGCGTAGAGGGTGCACCATCGCCACTGACCATACCAGCTTCTAACTAAAAACCAAGCAAGCACACTCCACCAAACCACTCTCATCCCCTGATTCACCAGATCACTAGATCACAGATCACAGATCACCAGATCATCAGCTCACTGATCAGATCCACTGCCCAGTCAAGTGTGAGCTTTCCCAGGGATCGGATTCACTCTGTTTATGTTGTACCATACGCTACATTTAGTCATCATATTTATACACTGTTTTTAGCTAGTACTTACTGTAGACATATTTTATATATTAAAACAAAAACAAACAAAATAAATATTTTTATTGTGAACTGTACGACTTGGATCCATGACTAATCACTTGCTACACCAACTTTCATTTGTGCTAATTGTTCTTCATACCAAAGTCATTAAGATATAAAATATCCTCGATTTGTTAGAGAAAAATAATTTAGGCACCAGTATATTTCAGTCTTTTAATCTTACTTAAAGTGCAAAAGACAATTAAATTGGTGGTTCCTAGAGCAGAAATTAATTAAAAGGTGTCTAAAAATATGCAATGAAAAAAGAAACGGCGTCTTTCGGAATTGGTCCAACGTACTTTCGGACTTAAAATATATTGTTGCATACTTTTAGATAATTTCTTAAGTAATGTTTAAACGCTATTGACTTCTTAATTTCATTGTTTTATTGTCTGACGATTAGGAATTTTTTTTATAAAAGTCTTTAAAAAAGCTTATGAATATTTGCCTTAATAATTAAATATTTATTATATTTGGCTATAAGTTCCAGATATAAAAGGATATTTTATTCTTTGGCTTCCGAAGCTACCTTTATTTCCCTTGTTTTGGTTTCTGCGATTACTGCAATGCAATTTCGTTATGGGCAAACACGACTTTTATCCTTTCCTGTCACCGACCACTGACCACCGCTTGCGTTTCCGCTCGCCCCACCTCCGAACCCGGATCCAAATCAGCCAGCGTGCTCTTTACAGTATAACCTTTGTCCTACTTGTAGTAACAATACCCTGCTCGTGCCCGGCTCCACGACGAGCCACTCGGGCAACATGTTGTTGTCGCCCAGCCACCGTGGCATTTCCTACCCGCCGCCGAGCCCAACGAGGTGAGTGTCCCTAGAGATTAGAGTCCCTCAATCCCCCCCGCCAAGTGCCACGTCTGATGGTGTGTGTGTAATCCGTGAATAACCTGTGTCTCTGTGTCGCCCTTCCCTCTCAAAAAAAAAAATAAATAAAAATCAAAAACTCTGCGCCACATGTGCATCGTCCTGAAATCGATCGTTCGTGATCTCTCATAACCCACATCCTGCGCCGCATCCACCGCCGCATCGCCATCGACTAACCCACCGCCACCGCTACCGCCATCGTGTGACCGTTGCTAATGCCTGTCCTCCGTCCCGTTGTTCCTGTGGTTGTTCCCGCAGAGTTCCGCTGCGACGTGGCATGGCATTCTCCACATCGACGAAGAATCCGCCGCTGCGCAAGACCCGCAATATCACCTCCCAGAATAGTATTAACTGGCACCAGATCCCGGCCACGCCCACGCCGCCCAGCCCCCGATCGCAGCACCAGTCGCCGGGAGTGGTCTGCATGCAGAAATCGCTGCCCTTGCTGGCCCCCAACGAGGAGGGTCAAGGTCATCAACCGCCCCCCGCTGCACAAGCAACTCTCCCACCAGGCTCCGCTGCCCACCTCCAATCACAACCAGTCCGGCACCGAAACGGACGTCTGATGAGGATGGGTCTGCAGAGTGGCAAAGCCGCAGAATGTACTTACCAATAGATCTGTCACAACCTACCAGTAGCAAAGTCACCCACAACTCTAATAACCCTAATAAAATACGTAAAGAAAATCGCCTTTAATTTGCAGACCTTAACAATTTTGTTTTTTTATAAAATGTACTTAAATATACTTATGCTTTATTGTATTTTATGATAAAGATTTTTTGTTCTGACCTTTATTTCAAAAGTTCAAGAATAAGTTCTTTGTTTTAAATATAATTTTCAACTAAGAATGATATTCAAATAAACAAAAACCAACTTAATATAATAATTTAAAATCATAAAAAAAATATTTAAAATTATATCAAAAAGTTTAAACTTTTCTAAAAATGCATGATTTTTTTTAATAAGTTATTGTTTACTTTTTATCAAGTATATGTTTTAAATGTTTTAAAGACTAAACAATATTTATAAATACAATTCATGGACAAGTCTAAAAATTGAAAAAAAGTATTCAAAGTAAAATTATGAACAAATCAATGGGTTTAATTACTATAGAATTTAAAGGATAAGCAAGTCTTAAATTTTTAATTTCTAAGTGATTTAGTGTATTTTACTTATCCCAATGTCCAGCTAAAATTAAAGGCGAATTTCGAAAAGTCAAGAAAAATTTCATACTGAGTGTAGGACATCGTGAACTTGTAATGTGAAAACCGCACTTTTGGGTCCAAAGCTGATATTGAACTTATCTACATTCCATAACTAACTAACAAACACCTTGGCGAGATTAAAATTCAGAACACCACGCCCCACACACTCGCCATTTTAAACTTCCCATAACGATATGAAGACAAATAAAGTTTAACCAAACTAGGTTAGTTGTACTTGTTACCATAGAATACGCATAGTCCCAATGCCATATATACAGATACATACTTAGATTAATCACAAGCTTTATGAAAATGTTTCCATACTATTGATGTAAGTCGTTACTTTCCTTAAGTAGGTAAATCAAATGTTACGATTATAATAAAATAAATAAACAGAATGTATACTTATATCTTACTGGATGCCCATTGTCTGCATGTAACAGAATTTAAAAATGTTTTCCAAAGAAAATGAGAGGTTATATTATGTTCAACTATTTCACTTAGCTATTTTATGCTTTTAAGTTTTCAGAAATTATTTTGAAGAAAGGACTAAACTCATTTTTAGTTTCTTCATTTTTTTTTGTAGAAAACTAAAATAACTCAAACTCAATATTACGTACAAGTTTGTAAACCAAAATAGAGTATTATCCGATTTTCGGTCCAAGTGTGTATAAGTAATAATATTAGCTTTAGAGACGAAACTAAGATTGTCGTAGTCTTCTTCCACAAAATGAAGGTGGTGAAAACCAGAGCACACATTTAAGCATATGGCAAAGTAATATTGGAATACGACTACGGATGGAATTCCAACATTAAATTATTATCCGTCGTTTAAGCTACATTCATATGGGTGATACATTTTTAATTGAGTTCAGATCTAGATAGCTCATAACCTTCTTATCAATAGCCATTGTTGACTAGCGTTATTAAATAAAGCAAAATAATATTTATCAGTTTTTCTATCCATCTCTGATACTATCGTTTTATTTTCCTGAACTTTATACATCCTTTAGACACTTAAGTTTAGAATCAAGTATTGTTAGCATAACTTTTTGGATAGTTGAGTAAGGCATAGCTACTGTTCTTCCTTCGAAAATTATTTCGACTAAAAGGATGTGACACACGTAAGACATGGATTTGCTAATTGCAGATTTTCGCCAAGCGATTTGTACATATTATCAACGGGAAAGCGTGACATACGTTCTAAATTACATATAGAGAGACAACGGAATACATATACACACCACATATAGTATATAGAAATTATATTTATATATATATATGTATATTGTAAAACGTGAACTTTTAGAGATAATGAGATGCATGTCTTGCACACAAGTGAGCCACAAAATTACTACAATATACAACTGCAATACAAAGTGTTAACTTTAACTGTATTTTTATGTACGAATACTTACCAACATTTAGGGCTGCATAGAGCTGAGATCGCATTTTAGAGTCGTACTTAGTTCGAGGGCATGAAGCTATCTTAATCTGTAACAAGATACCAAGATACGTTTGTGTACAAATATCTAATCTTCTCTTTGGGCTAATCCAAAGAGTATATTCATACATACATATAGTACGTGGTACTTAGAAGTTGAACTTAAATGTTATTGCAACTATATCTAATTGCAATCTATTTACAAAGGAATACAACCAAAAACAAAGAGTAAAGTGCAAAAAAGCTTTATTTACACGCTTGAACAATAAATATCAAAATTATTTGTAATGTAAACAGCCAAAGCCATCGTGTTTTATTTTAATTAATTCATGGTAAGTAATCTATTATTTCTGTGGGTGGAAAATAAGTTAAACCAACGCCATTAAAGGCCAATTACCAACCGAAAGTGGACAAATGCGTATAAAATCTGTGTTTCTATAGTGACATCAAGCCAACTGCACTGGACACATCGCTTATTTAACCATTAAAAAGTTTTGCGGCAGCTGCAACCATCCAACCAGAGATATTGAGAAAGGACACCGAGCCAAGGATGCAACTTGATAAATGAAGGGCCATCCGGCCAGGGCAGTAACGTCATTGAATAAGCTTTTATTAATTGGGCATATTTTTTTTTTGAGCCCAAGTTTTTTGAAAACTATTGATAAAGTCATTTAAAACTTTTTATTAAAAAATCATTGCGGTTGGCATTCAATTTAAATACATAAATTACTAAATGTATTCCATGATTGGCATGTCATTAAATAAATAATGGACCACAGTAATGTAATTGATTTATTGCCAAATTCATAAATTTCAATGGTTATTTGGCCTAATAAATAAACTAGTAAATTAGAGTTAATAGGACGAACTAATTGCGTAAATTAAATGTCATTATCTTGGCACAATCTATTATGTGTTTGGCTAAGTCACTTGAAAAAATTAGACATAGTTCATTTACTCGAAATATTGATTTAATGCGGCTGAATATCTGTTTGAAATAATATGGGTCAGACAACCCCTTTTAATTCAAAATTTATAAAGGTTATTCTGCAGAATAAAATCGTAGTTTTACGGATTCCAGCTCGTCCTTGCGTTTGCCAGAAATATAATGCCGGCAACTAGCAGAACACTTAAAACTGGCGATGTATGCAGCAGCCAAGTGGATTATTTGCATGCCACGCCCTCAGCCCACCGCCCTCCGTGCACGCCCCCTTCCGAAGCACTCTGTTCTTGAAAGGCATTTTGATAAATGTCGTAATTCCGCGATTGAAGTGTTATGGCTGGCAGTTAGTCAGGCTGCTTGCCTCGGATACGCGGATATGCGGTTCTGCGGCTGCGTTACTTATATTTAGACGTCTCACAATGGCAGTCATAAAAATACGCAATTTGTGAGCCCACTCTCCAGCGGAAAATGCTCGGAACGGCGAGTCCCCATTGAATTTCCCCGTTTTCCGAGCTCCCACTTGAAGCACCCGCCAACTGAATTCACTGGCTGCAGTACCAAATGGAATCGCAATCGTGTAAATGGGATTATGGTTGTGCGTGGATGCAGCGTTCTAAAAATTACAGTGGCTTGTACGAGTTTGCGATTTGACCACTTCATACACTGATTACCGAGAACACCACGTAATCAGTAAACGCATTTTCATTCTAAACTGGATTTTAGCCTTGCACTTTTAACACAATTGATAAGTCTATATGGAAATTAGCTGATTGCTTTTTCGACAGCACATTTTTATATATTTTTGTAGCTATAAGACAATTGAATTACTGTGTATATGTTCTAAATCACAAAACAAACAAACTTATGCAAACTTAATAATGAAATTGCAACACTCGCTGCAACGGGAAAAAAGTCAAACAAATTTCACAAATCTGTTTAGATATATTCTTTTTGCTTATCTAACACCTGTTGTATGACCCCTAGCTATAATCTATATATATACTGGTGGAAAATAAGTAAAGCTAAAAGATTGTGCATTCACTTGACTAACTAAAGTCAAACCAAAGTGATTGTGCAAATATTGGGTTTTGCAGAACAGAGAACAGAAATTGAAGCAAAGCAAATGGAAATTAGCTGTTCCAGGTGGGGCTTTAAAAACATTTTTGCCGGTGACAGGTCTGTCGGGGACATCCACCTGGCGCACTGCCTGGAAGGTGTCGACACCGTGTTAACCCTAACCAAGTTCGCATCCAAGCCCGCCTCCCCCTCGACACTCCAAAACTCTTCGCCATGTGCAGGCACGCCTCGCAAGTTCCTTTCAATTAAAAACATTTCCCAGCCCGGCGCTTTACCGCCAGCCAGACGTCTGTTTGCCTCATTTTAGCATATTACTCGGGGAAATAATGAGCCCCGAGCAGGGAACATCAAGCCCAGGACACCGGTGCCCCAGGTTCTCGGTGTTCCTCCTCTTTGTGAGTGCCACGCATCCTGTCGCGGTGCTCTTTAAGCGGCTGGCCCACAAACTGCTCGAGGAGGATTCTTTAAGAGGATTTGCCACTCATACGTACAGCACTTGATGGACTTTTTGTCGCGGTTGAGTTGAGATTAAAGCCAGAATGTTTTCGTAGACAGGTTGGGTTTCCAAATAAAGGGGTTCTGCCTTTTTACTGATTTTAAGTGAAAAATTAAAAAAACCCTCCAAACATATTAAAGTTTAGTACCGCAAATCGATCCATAATGAACTTCTAGATATACAATTTTAGTGCTTAGTAACAAAAAATAATCACAATCTTTTTGAGGTATACTGCCATAAAATTAAATTAATCAGCCTATCACACGCATTAAAAACATAAACAAGTCTATGCATATCAATGAGCAAAGCAATTAAGATTATAAGTGCCACTATGGATTTTAATTTAAGACATCCAAGAAACATTTTTTTTCCAATATTTATATCCAAATCCATAACTGGGGATTATTTAATTTCCTGAACACAATGCTCCCAATTCAATCAGATTATTTAATCAACCGAAAACAAAGCTCCCATTCCCTTCCGACTTTGAGCGGTGTTTAAAGTCGGACAGATGCGACTTGAAAACCATTTTGTCTTCATAAAAAATGAATTCGATTTTGTTGGTTTCTCCTGTTCCGTATTGCTCATTCGAAAAAAAATGGTAACAAGGTCAGTTGGCAGGTGCGCAGCGACAATAACGATGTCAGGAAAAATAGTTCAATTCGCAGCGCAAAAACAACACACATCGACCATAGCAACATGCTGGCATCGATGCACTCGCTTGTGT